CCATTATTGCATCTCATTATGTCTTCTAAACACTGATCTTTATAATTTGCTACTGCTGCCAGGGACAGTGCAAAAGGGCATAATTCAAAATCATAATATAGAGTAAGGGATGCTATTGTTACGGGGTTAAATTCAACAGAAATGATAATTTTGGCACAGGGTCATATTGTACATAGCACATATTGTAGTTCTAACCAGAGTTTGAAACTTCTAAAAGGAAATAAATTAGAACCAATTTATTCCTAGAATAGAGTTGTATATTCAAAGATATAAAACAGAACAATCTTCATAGGCATTACTAATGAAGCTAAAAAGAATAATTGTGGCTCTTGAAGTATGGTACATTTATTCTTTATCTTAAGCCATTGAATATTTATTAGAATATGTCTGGGTATAGTGTAGCTAGATAAAATATTAGAGATGTGTCATTATTATTTTTTAGATACTGGCTGTGCCATAAGGGCCATTGGCTTGAAGTTTATAGGGAAGAATTTTTATATTTCTATCACAGCATGATGCCATCTAAAATATGTTTATACATGCTTTTTATGAAAATGAATTCTGCCCTGTGCTAGATACATATTTCATAGTTCCTACTTGATAAGTCACTGAAAATACATCTCAGAAAATCAATTTATGAAAGTGAGACAGATTCCTTGCAAAGTTCTTTGGACTTTCTTTCATGCCTAAGTTTATTACTTTCCACACTGCAAAAGCATTAAGACTTTGAACTCTAAACAGTAACTAGACATCTACTAGAAATACAGTAATTTTTCTGCAACAATAAGGGCAACTTAAGAGTGTAACTTTTCCTAACTTGGTACCTTCTTCCTGCATTTAATATATGGAAGTTGCATTTTACTAAGTATCTTACCTTTTCCTTTCCTAAATTTAGAAAAAAGATAGAAAAATGAAGATTTTTACACTTCTAATGCAGCAAGTTGAATATATACTTTGCTTGCTCATTCTTATTTCTCCCTAAATGGAGGTATACTATATATATGATTCATTTAACAAAGTTCTGTCTCAATCCCTGAAGGCTATGGGGTCAAGAATGGGATGCAACAGCTTCAGCTCAGACTAAGCAGCTCTAACTTCCATCTTTGGTTCTGGCTGGGATGACACTCCCACAGATAAGAACCCAATGCACAATTTTGGAGTCACCCTGGATTTGTGCCTTCTGTTCAAGGAGCAAATGACCATCATGGCTTGGAGCATCATTGTACAATTTTGGGCTGTATGTCAGGTGCACCCGTCCATGGCCTGGGGACTCTGCTTGCAGTCATTCATGCCTTTGTAACCTCTGCCTGGATTTAGCAGTTGCTGAATAGGCAGGGTTATTATAACCTACTCTACATGGGGCTATCCTTAAAGAGTATTAGAAGCTTCAATTGGTGCAGAATGCATTTGCACAGGCAGTTAACAGTGTCATTTACTTGGTGCATGTGACATTACTGTTTTCCAACACTGCTTCCAGTGTAGTTCTGGGTACAATTCAAGGTCCTGGTTATCACCTTTAAAGCCCTTCATGGTTGGAACTAGGTTACTTACAGGACTCTCCCTCTCTAATCATCTCTCCTTGTCCTACCCAATCAAGATGAACAAGCATGGTCCAGGTATCATTAGCTAAAGAATCCTGGTTGATGGGATCCAGAAAGAGCCTTTTTAGCTGTGGTGACCAATCTTTGGAACATCATCCCTGTAAGATTATATTGACCCTGCCCCTGCTCAACTTGTATTTGGGGCTTGAAAACTTTATTTTGTGCTTGAGCCTGGGGCCCTGGCCATGTGATAGAGCCCATCTCAACATCCACTCAGCCAACACAACAACACAGTTCTCCAGGCAACATGCAGGTATTTACAGGCTAGTAGTAATTGCTCACCATTACTCCAAATGTCCCCCTGTTGCTATATCTACTATTGCTCCTCCAACTATAATTCTTTGTGAGTCCTACTAGAGAAAAGTATCTCTTTCTAACTACTTTATTTACACACACTCAAACCTCTTTTCTTCCACGCATCAATACCACGATACCCAGGTGTCTTGCAGCACAGTATTTATAGCCAACCTGACTGTGCTGGCTGGGAAGAAGGTTTAAAGAGGCAGGACAACAGCAGCACATTTTCCATTTTCTAGGCATCTTGCTTTCTCATACCACATCACCAAATCGAGTATTGGAATTTGTTATTTTTTATATGAGACACCTATTTCAGGGTTCACACAACAGTTCTTAGGTATTTCTCACCTCAAAATGATAGGAAACTACTATCAATTTTCACCCATTATGTCTACATGGGGCTATCCTTAAATCTTAAAGGACTGCAGATTAATAGCCATCAGGATTTGTTATGTAATGAGTTGGTCCTTCATAGTCTTTATGTTTTACCGTACTTGGCACATAGAGATTTTAAAATGCCCAAAAAAAACCTAATAAGACACAATAAAAGCATTCTGCTGCTTAATTTTTGAGTGGAGATGAGGTGATTTTTGTCTGTGAATGATTTACAGCAGTACAGATATGGTCACAACACATGTATTTTCATCTGAATAAGATTCTTCCAAATATGGCCTGAATCAGTAATTGTAGAGAAAAGTAAAAAAAATGTAGTTGTAAAGAAAAGTAAAAAATGTAGTTGTAAAGTAGCACCACCTACTGGTTTCTAATCTACATTAACAAAATTGTGAATCTATTTCATCTATTGTTTCCCAATTCAGGAAACTATTTTTTCTAATTGCATAACTACAGTGGCAGCTCTAATTTGAAATGCTCCTTTAAAACCTTCACCAGTGTTTACTGAGGAGCCAGTAAGTTTGAATCTTAAGTCTCCAAAGTTATTTGGAGAGCCCCAGGTTTGGGAAAACTTTGGAGAAAGGGACCAAGTTGTTTGACAGTCTGTACTTAGGAAAATGTACTTTAGTCCTCAACTTATGACCACAATTGAGCCAAAAATTTATGTTGCTAAGTGAGAATTTTGGTAAGTGAGTTTTGCCCCATTTTATGACTTTTCTTTCCATATTTGTTAAGTGAATCACTACAGTTGTTAAATTAGTAACCTGGTTATTAAGTAAATCTTCCTCATTGACCTTGCTTGTCATAATGTGGCAAAAGATAATCACATGACCCCAGGACACTGCAACCATCATAAATGTGAGTCAGTTGTCAAACATCTGAATGTAAATCATGTGACATTGGATGCTGCAAGGGTCATAAGTGTGAAAAATGGTCATAAGTCACTTTTTTCAGTGTTGTAACCTCAAATGGTCACTAAGTGAACTGTTGTAAGTCAAGGACTACCTGTATTGAGATCAGCTTTAAAGGTCCTGGTTTCTGGCTTATTAGAAAAAGAACTAAGGTGACAGAGCAGAGCTTTTTTATCACTTGCCCTACACATAAGGAATTTGCTTGCCTTAGGAATAACAGAGTTCGAAGGGACCTTGGAGATCATCTAGTTCAACACCCTGGTCAAAAGCAGAAGACCCTATACAAATGGCTGTTCAATCTCTTAAAACCTCCGGTGATGGAGCACCCACAACTCTTGATAGCAAGCCATTCCAATGATTAATTCATTTATATGTGAATGCCAATATTTGAAAATTTGTGTCAAACCTATATAACATCATGTAACAAATCATGCATTAGTATGTAACATCAAGGTAATACTGTGAAAAGACTTTTACAATTCAAGGTTGGTAGCCAATAATATGTCTTCTAATAGTATACAGTGATTTAATCATTTCAGAATCTGTTTTACTTCTCAATAAATAATATTATTTTGGAAATGGTCTCAAATAAATGTGCATAATGCTTTTCTATCAAAGATATTCATTTCCCTGTAATATAATTTATCAATCTTCTGAGACATTGAGTCTGAAAGAGTTTACAAATTTTTAAAAAAGTATCACAATGTACAATACAATTGATATGGAACATTTATTTTACTAAGCTAATTGGCCACTCCACTAAGTAGTGTAGTCCTCATGTTAGAAATGTTAGGTTTGAAAGCAATAGTATAAAAAGAAAACATATGAATATTCCAAGTATTTTCCCCCATCTCACCCTTATCTTTTTCTCTGGAGAAACATCTCACTCAAGCATCCAAACCCAACAAGTGAGGTAAATTCCATGCTAAAAAATCACTAGGAAAGAGATTAAAGATAAAAATGCCAACACTGTAATAACCACCACAGACGAGAATACATGTAGTTTGTGGTTCAACTGTGGAGTCTAATTTTAATCACCAACACTTATGTTGGATATTGACATCTGTAAGCAAATACCGAAGCTCAGAGAACATCAAGGACTCCACTATTGTAATAACTTTATATACATCTGTGGTACATCTAGAGTATAATTCTGCAAACATAATTGAAAAGGAATATAAGAGAGCTTGGGGGGGGGGGAATTAAGAGAGCAAGGTTCGTGGAGATTCTCAATCATCCAGGTCACGATTGTCCCAAAGGTGCTTTTCAACATGCAACTGGACTGGACGTAAATCCTTCTGTTTGCCACCATTCAATCAGAATTGAAGAAGCTTCTTGGACGAGAAGCGAAAAATCTCCGAAGGAAAATAAAAAACCAAGGAAGTCCAATTGCCTTTTGAAAAGCACCTTTGGGGTTAAAGAGAGCAACCAAAATAATCAGGGGGCTCCAGCAACTCTGTGAGAAAAAGATTAGAATTCTTTCATTTGGGAAAGAGACCCTTCTTCACGTAGCACAAAAAAATACGCGTAGGGGAGATAGGAGCTGTAACTAAGGCCCAAAACAAAGTGAACAGCACGTGTCCTCTATTACGCAGCCGCAGTCGGAAGATGACAAACTTAAACCTCAACCGCCGGGGATTTATTTACAAGGCTCGCGAAGCTTGCACAGAGACGCATGCGCATTCTATCCATCTTATCTCGCCTCCCTCCGCACAGTTGTAATAGCTTTGGAGAAGGGGGGGGGGGTGGAATAGAGGCGGAGCTGGCTGACGTGAGCATCGACGCAATACGGCGGTTGGAGGTTCCGTGCCGGGTGGGTCACCGCTTTCTCCTTTGCTGTGGTCTTGCCGACTCCTCCGTCATGGAGTCTGTGGACCGAGGCTCGCGTTTCTTGCTGCCTTACTTGACCCACTGTTCGGTGCGGCGAATGATGCCCTGGGCATTGATGAGCTTCATGGTGATCGGATCCCTTGTTAAAGAATTAATGCCGCTGGCTGCTACTTACCTGAGTAACAAGCGCAACGTGCTCAATGCGTAAGGGGCTTTCTCTGACCCTTGAGAGTCCTGGGCTTTGATGGAGGAAGAGGAGGATCAAGGGGATCCGAGAGGCAGGACCTCGCAATGAGGGGGACACTGGCTGGCAGAGGGGCAAAGAGTAGTGGGCTTGCTGAAGGGTGTTGACGAAATACGGTATGAATGAGGGAGGCCTATGAGCCAGAAGAGGCTTGGCTCTTTTATATTGGGGTGAAGGGTACTGTCTGTTTCCCCCACTTCTCTCGGGGATATATTTCTAACCTGCTTCCCAAGTTGTATAGTTTGAGAAAGAGCCAGTGAGCCTATGCTGTCTATTTTGATTAATGCATGATTTAAGTCTTGCTGTGTGAAGGAATCCAAATTAAGAGACTCTTAACATGGGTCTGCCTGACACATCCAATAAAGGCAACCTCATGGTTCCCTATTCGGCAATTTATTCCACTGGCTAACTGGTCTTCACTTTTTCTAAACTTTGGGAAGAATACATTGTAATAAGTATTAATATAGTAAGGTTAATTACTAGCCATAGATTAATATGAATTGAATTGCAATCCCGTAAAAACATAAATTTAAGCAGGGTAAGAGCTGGTTAGTACTTAGAAATCACCAGAAAAATCCTATGGTCTAGATAAGATTAGGAAGTTAAAAACATTTTAGAATAGATAATGGCAAATGACTGCAATGTTGTTATTAAGAAAAGTACAGGTGTGTGGCTTCAAAATCACCAACACTTAAGTTCAACTCAAAGGAGATTTTACTTTTGCTAAATATTAACCTGTTTAACTCTTATCAAAAGTAAATGTCATAACTTGGTTAAATTTAATTGCAGCAAGGTTTTGATTAATTTTTAAAATTGGTTAATTTTTTTTATTGCTGCAAGCTTCCTTCAGAGAGTTTCTAACTTTAAAAGTAGTTAAAATTATCTTTAAACGTGTAGAAGAATGTCACAATAAGATAAAAGTAAGTTTTCCACTGGTCACATACACCAATTAAGAAATACAACTTTATGTAAGCATATGGTTTGCAAATGATAATTCTAATTCAGTTCTATTTATCACCAGGTAGAAATGAGAAAAGTCTGGGATAAACAGGACTGAATTATAATTGCTATTTGCAATTACATAGAGCTGCAGCTGGATTTAACAGTGAGGTGTTCTAACTGTTGTACACTAAAAGCTATGTTGCCTAGAATTGAGGGGGATAAACTAGAAATCAGCAGCTAACCACTTTCTTGGGCCATGTGAAGTTTTATAATAGCCTGTCAGTTTGATGTTTATCTTTTTTTTCTTATTCCTTTTGAGGAAAATTTTCATTTGAAATTTGTCTAGATTATATTTTGGAGAACGTTTTTAATTCCTCTCTAATAATTATTTAAAAGGTTATATCATTGCTATCATTTTTTTATTACAACTATTTTTTTTCTTTATTTTATCTCTGACAGCTATTTTGTGAAATTTGCCTGGGCCTGGACATTCTCTCTGCTGTTGCCATTCATCTCTCTCACCAACTACAATGTCCTCCAGAATATTTTGCCTGTACTAGTTCGCCTTTTCTCATTGCTGGTTGGCACTATCATCTGGTATATATGCACAAGTACATTTTTGCTCATTCAGGACTTCACAGGCAGTTGTTACAAATCATCAACTCTTGCTGTAGTGACTCAAGAACATTCCAACCAACTACAGTGCCTACAAGCTGGTGGGATCTGGCAAAGTTTTGATATCTCAGGACATTCCTTCCTCCTTTCATATTGTATTCTAATGATTCTAGAAGAAATGGCTGTGATGCCCAGTGTGAAAACTTTTCAGGGTTCTAGACTGCACAGAGTGGTGAACAGTTTGTTCTTAGCACTGGCTTGTTTGACTTTTATCTGGTTTTTCATGCTTCTTACTACTGCTGTATATTTCCATGATTTTTGGGACAAGATTTTTGGCACTTTGGTGGGCCTCTGTGCTTGGTATGGAACATATAGGTTTTGGTACCTGTCACCTTTATCTCCTGGACTTCCTCCTCAAAGAACCCTTTATTTCCCAAAGCCTAATCGTAGGCTATAAAATCAGTTTGTTGACCAGATTCTGTTTTAAAGAATACTCATTTTTAATTATCTAAATTTATTTCCCAGAGTCTAATTGTGGGCCATAAAATCAATTTGTGGATCAGAATCTGTTTTAATGAATATTTTCAATTATTTAAATTTTAAGACAACTATTAATATGAATATTTAAAGTGAGTGGCAAAAGACCAAATACTGTTTGTATTATGAGTTTGTGACATAATTCTTGAAAGTGGTTGCTATATTAATATCAGGACTTCGTTAATCTTGGCTAAATGGAAACTGTTGGCCAGATTGGTACTAGAATAACCTGAGAGGAAAATACTTATTTTAAAAACTACTTTTGACTATGAAGAGGCAAATTTAACAGAAAAAAATTCACTTAGATACAAAACTCATGTGCAAGGACTCGATAAATGGACATATTTTTGTTAGATAAAATAGATAAGATAAATTGGCCAAGATCATATCTTATTTGAGGATTTGATAATTAACCAAATGATAGACACTTAAACATTTTGTCTCAAATTATCTTGCTTGAATATGTAAAAAAAAGTTTTCTTTGAGTTTGATTTAAATCCATATATTAAAACAAAAATGGATAGCCAGATTAGTTTATGCCATAAGGAGATTTTGGATTTAAAACAACTGTCCCTGCCATTCTATTTATTTCAACAGTCAACTTTGTACAGATGACATAGCTTGCATCATGCACCATTTTTTCTAGAATTTATCTGGCTTAGAGTCTTTAGAATATCTTACGTCATGTTTTTGGCAACATGGCATTCCTGAATGCTTTATATCTGCAATCAAACCTATTCTGTTAGAGCAGGCTGTTACTTGCAGGATTGCAGCTTTCACATACTCTGCTCTTCCAGTTCTGAATTAAAGATGGCAGTTAGGAAATCTATAGCAATGGTATAATTTATTGTACATGGGAGTTTTATAGAAAAAACTATATTGGTTTTTACAGCCATCTGTCACAACAGGAAAAAAAATATTTAAAAACTTGTTTAGGTTCATTGGATACTTTGAATTTTCTTGCATGGTACAACCTTATAATATTAATATATTTATATTAATTGTGTTTTTTACAGTTTTGCACTTTGACTAAAGGTATTACACTACAAGTGCAATTATTTTTAATATAATTGAAAAATAATCCAGTTGTAATGAATATTGCTGCTTTATATGTTATATTCAGCATACTATATTTTATGTGCTCCTACTAAACATTTGATAGTCAAGCTGCATAGTTTGTAGATACTAAGCTAAAGTGAGGATCTTTTTTGTTTCAGATAAAACTTCGTTTTTTATTTTTATTTTTGGTCTCCAAAGCCATGATAGACATGTACTGATACCACTGTAGGCATTGGTTCTAAAAATTGTTCTGTCTGTATCTGGTTTTTGGGGTGGATGTTTAGATGGGAAGTAGGTATGTTAGAATTTTATGGAGGCCTAGTACACTTATCCTGTGTTTATGTCTCCCAGAAATAAATGTTGCATAAATAAATATTACACATAAATATCTTGGGAGTTTCTGGAGCTGTAAAAATGTGATTGCATGTTGTCTATTATTTGCTTATGTTTGTGCTAACTTTTCAGTTTTCTAATTGTCTTGCTAATTCAGTTTCAGAGCTTTCAGTTTGGATGTGATTGATACACTAAATGGTTTGAAATCTTCATGTTAATTATATTACTCACAAACTGCCTGAGTTCAGGAGTTCTTATTAACAGGCATGCCATTTTAAGTTCCTTCAAATTGTATCATACCTCTATATATACTATAAGATAGATACTTGGAAAGTCATCCAGTCAAATTTGTGTGTGCTAGCTACTCAAAGATGAACTTCTTTTGCCATTTCCCTTTTAAAATAATGCCTTAGTGAACCATAGCTTCATATTTAGGATTGTTACTTGTCCCCCATAAAGTTACAACAGCTTATACTTCTGCCACATTTAAACTTGTATATTGTGCATGGCAATTGGTTTGTATAACACTATTTCCAACATAGGAGAAAAAGTTTTATCTCAAACTCGGCTTTATGCCTACTCATAAATAAAAAACGAGCAGCTAAGCCACAGTTCATATATGTGTGTGTGACTAATGAGTTGAAAAGAATAGGCTCATTGGCAATGAAACTTGGAGTTTTATGGAGGTGGAAATTTGAGGTCAATGGTATATATCAGTGGAATTGGAAGCAGACTTAATTTACATTACCATTATTGGTTTTATTGTAAGCTCTTTTGGGAATCTTCTATGAAAAGAACTATACATTCATCTATGTAAGTTAGTTCCTCAGACCTTCATGAACTGAGCTACATGGGTATATGAAGAGCAGCCTTTATGGCTGGCAACCCATCTTTCAGTCAGATTACATTTATGGCTCCTGTAATTCTTTCAAAGTATTTCAGTATACAAATTGGTTCCATGTTATTGTACTGAAGAATTAGTGAATTCTTAAGCAATTCCTAAGTATTATATGTTTCCGTTGGGTGAGATTTTTCTCAGCATACACAGACTTACATAAAGTATGTTTGCTGTAATATTTTTCATATTTCTTAAGCACTGATTTTGTATTGTTTAAAGAAGTGTTGAGAGAAGTAAAATGAAATGCATATATTTTACAGATATGTACATTTTGTTAGCTGGGTATGATGTATCAGCATTGTTATTGTATAGGCAAGCATTCTATAAAAAATTCTTGTGACTCTATGTAATACAGATTTTTTGTGTGTAATAATCATTTGATGATAGTTTTGTTGCCCATGAATGAACAAATCAAATTCACCTTCACCACTGTCTCCAGTGGTTTTGGCTTCTTCTTTTTTAGCTAAACTACTTATATTGCCAGTTGTGTTACAGTAATGCCCTAATCTGAAGCATATTTTACTACATCTTATAAGGTAAAAAGCACTGATTTTGCCAAATAATCATTTTTCTCCCTTACCTCTAATGCAATTTGTGCCATGATGGTGTGTAGCAATTGTATCAATAAAATAGACATTTGATGTATTTTGGTAACTAATGGAGAACAGATTAATCTGTGCTTCCTGAAGAGAGCAAACAATGTAAAACTCTGAGTATCTCATGACTACAGTGTCAAACTTCATTTTAAGCTATCTTTAATGGCACATGGTTAATTTATCTTCCAAAGCATAAGTGAGATTTTCTGTTGTGCAGATTTGGCCATGGAAATCAGTTTCAGGTTTGCCATTGATATTTCAAGAATGTTAGCTCTATCTTGGTTTCTGTTTTCAAAAACTTAATATCAGAACAAATAATTTTAAATTAATAAGAATGATATCTTAGAAATATATTGAGTTGATTTCTAATACAAACCCTGGAAAGAATGTTGTAAACTTCATCTGTCACACTTGAGCAAGATCCTAATTATAGCACGTTGGAAATACTTCTATTTGGCATTCTTCTAGAAGTGCAGGGAAATCTCATAATAATACTTGGTAAAAAGATTGTGGGAAACCCAAAGTAGGAAAGTATTACAGTTAACCCTTGAGATATGATCATAATGGAGTTTGCACGTGTCCTGAGAATTGTCACTTAATGATTCCCCATCCCTGCTCTTCCCAATGAATCAAATAAACATGCAGGTTGTTAAGTGGATCATGGGATGCCTAGGGTAGGGGAGTCTCTTGAAGGCCTAGCACAGGCCCACGCCCATCTGCTCCAGCCCTCCCAAGGCTTTCCCACTTACCAAAATACCTGTGCTCTGCTTCCTGCCCCTTGCATCTCCACAGGTTTTTTCCCTATTAAAAAAAAATCCAGGAAAATTTTACTTATTTATTGTAAATAATTTATATAGCTGCCTACTTGCTCACAACAACTTTCAATAAAGCATGCATAGTATGGGGCTGTACCTTCTGTTATTAAATGTTTAGTTGGAACTCGTAGTTAAAGGTTCTTTTGGTATTAGAACAGGCATCATTGGATACTTGGAATATACTTATGCATCTTTGTTTTAAAACTGAACAAAAATACAGTCAGTGTCAAGTTGGTGAATCACTTGGCAAGCGGGTCACCATATAAATGCAATTAATTGTGCCTTCAACTGTCCTGTTCTAATGCCAACTGAGGCAAACTAGTTCTTGAGATGCAGCAGAAATTTTCACAACTGGATTTTAACTCCCAAGTAGGCCTTACTCAAAAGTATGGCAGTCTGGAGTGAAAGATGTTTAGTAGATTAAAGGATAAAAACAAATTCAGTCAGACAGTAGTGAGCCATTAGGTAACTAAGTCCAAAACTAGCATTTTTTAATTAAGCACACTTTGGGGAAGCTTAACTGTTTCATAGTGATTACCTAGCATCTATGTTTACATTTTTACCTAACTGCAACTTAAGTGAATCAAATAAGCATATCTGATGAGGAATACTGAAGGTTCATCAGTATTTGAGCTACCCCAACTTCATCCCTGCCAAAGCAATACCACTTTCATGGCTACATTTTGCACAAACCTCAGTTGACACGGGTGATTTAACCAGGAGGATTCAAGAGGATGGATCGTGATGGGCAAGCTACAGTTTGCCTCTGTGCTTTGAAATGCTTCCTTTGTGCATAAGATTTATGAATTGGAAATTTTTCCAATCTTTAGTTGACTGGCAATGTGATAAATATAAGTATGTTTTAAGGAGCATCTCCATATTAAACCAGCTGTGAACCAATATGTGTCCTATTCAATCTACACTACGGCCTTGTCCATTTGTGCAAAACTGTTAGTGAGTTTATTTTAAAGCAGAATATACCATAGAACATTTGGGAGACCAAGAGTTACATTTGGCCTAAGTAGTATGACAGGGGACCCACTCCAAAAATACAAATTAGGGAAATAAAAACTAATGTAGATTTAAGTATAACAAAATATTAAAATTAATATTGCTCAATGTTATGAATTATAATGTATTTAATAGTTTCTGTTTTCCAGCATGTTGAAGATTATAAGCTGGTGGCACTCTTTGAAGGTGCTCTAGCAATGGCAGCAAAGATTTTGTATATTCTTATATTAAATGAATTTATGATAGGAAAAACAAGGACAGTTCTAGCTCATATCATTTTTCAAACATATATCATGTAATAATCAGAACAGCATAGTCATTAGAATGTTCATATGCGTCCCTTGTATTGCATAAATTTCCGATTAGTTCCAAGATTCCTTGAAATGCTCATTAAAAATTGAAGATTATTGTGTGTATGGAACTGTTTGATTTCCACATCTGAAATATTTGTCCTCAACTGGGAGTGACTTGGCATGGGTAGGAAAAAGCATCCAATTGAATGGTTATAATTGTGCAATTTTTAATAACTGCAATATGGTGCAACTGCAGATGGATCTAGTCCAGAGCTTTTGAATCTATTTAAAATCTCTTGCAGGTGTAATAATACATGCTACTTACCTATAATAACAGGGATATTAAAGATGTATGCCCTTAAGTTACTCTACACAATATTCTGTTCACTTTATCAGTGAAGATCAGAAGAATCCTAGATCAAAAGTACATATTTCCTTGCCTTTCACAGTACCCAACTGGTACCCATCCTAAGATGAGAATAACTTTATCATCTAAAAAACTTAACATTTTCTCTTACACATCTTTTTTTTAAAGAGCTTAGGGTTAGGGTTTCCAAATTCCATCAGATCCTTATAAGCCACACAGCCCTCGGATTCAGTTTAGGCAACCTTTTCCTCATCTAATATTCAAAATTTGGGTAGTATAAAAGCTGAAGAGTGCTGATCTACATCAGCAATAAATCTGACATGTAAAGGCATGTGATATTCCTTCTGGTGATATAGATATTTACATATATTTTGTTGGTAATATTTTGGCACTACCTTGAGATCTCCTTATTCTTGGGAAGTATTTCTGGAAGGGGATTATCCAAAAACTTCTGGTAGCAGCTGTTGGCTTTTCTATTTTAAGACTGCAACGAAAGAAAGGTAGTACTTGACAAAACAAGATAAAATTCAGTTGGTACCACTTATACCCACACAGCTTTAGAATTGTGCTGGAATATTTGCAGTATTTTATTAAATATAATTCAGAACAGTCATCTAGCTTTTGCACTTTTCCCAGGAGACCGGTACCTTTTGGGATGAAAGGTATTATATGGGTTTTCAGAGTATATCACAGGCACCATCTTATAATGGCTGCTATTAGAGAGATTGCCATCAGGCCATACAGCTGTCAGGTCAGCATCGCCAATTTATCCTTTAAAGACTAAGGGGCTAGGAGGTATTCAGAAGTATTTTGACATAAATAAAGAGGAGATCAAAGAGTTTTGCAGAGGGCCTGCAATCTAGATATTCAATAGACATATAGTATGTTGCTTACTCTGGAATAGCTTAAGCTTGCATATTAAACTTGTGTTAAGTATCTAGATATTGAACAGAATTCAGGAAAATTTAAGGACTTGCATCTTCATTTTTTGAAGTATTTTCTGTAATTCGGCTAATATTGATGTGCATAAATTCATATGCTTATATCAGGCGATTAGGCAATCTCCATTATTGACGGTATGCTTTTCTGTGATTGGGGTTATTGGTTTAACCATGGGCACTGTGGGCTATATGTTGTGGTTCTACTTTAAACCTTGTGAACTGTCCAGAGCCACTGATGTGGAAGGGATGCTCATATGAACAATTTCAATAAACGGGAATAGCAAATTTTCATTTTCATATTCCTACCTGAATATTAAGTTGATATGAAAGAAGAAAAAGCTTCTTTAAAAGCTCTGAATTGATAGATTCCAACAAGTTTGTCTTATCTAGCACCATAATCATGTAATCTAATACATAGCATTTAATTACCTGTTCTGAGATGCATTTTATTAAGCATTATAATAAGCTAAAATGTCTAAGTAAACATAAAAAAAATCTTGTTGGATCAGATGAAAACCCATAAAATCTCAATTGCTGTTGCCTATAGTGATTAACCAGTTACTAGCTGGGAAGTCAACAAGCAAGTCATAAAAGCATAACAAACTCCCCAGTGTCTCATGTTCAGAGAATACATTGACTTTGATTCTGTAAATATCTTTCGCCATCACAACAAAAGCCAATGAAAGCTATATGACTTGATACCCACATGATATGGCCTTTAATTTGGTGTGCAGCAAATTAAATACCTATATACACAGAGGCAGCCCTGTTATTTGGATCAAATCTGACTTTGTTGAAGTCAAACATAATAACCCAAAAAACAATTTTTAAAAAAGTCAGCTATTCTATCTAGAATTGTATTTTGTATTCCTGTAATGTATTTACTAAATTACAGAAACTGAATGACAGCACACATGGTCAAGATTTAATTTTGGGCTCATGATTGTTCATTTATGCTGCTACTTTGACTATCTTTTAAACAGTCACATTATAAAATTAAAATAAATTCTACTCTGTATTACTTATTTAAAAAGAATACACTCTTCTGACAATGTGCAGAAAGTCATTACTGCACATGTATACACAATTTATTTTTGGAAATAAATCAACTGATATAGACTACATTTAGAAATGTAAAGCTGTTACTCTTCCCATATGATTTATTTGAGTTCTCAGAAGTATTTTAAGCATGAATAGCATTGATGCTCACTATTCTTTCCAACATGCAAAAGGCACAATAAAGTGAGAAATATGATTTTTTTTGTGCAAAGTGTTTTCTAATAAAAATACACAACAAGAAAAATAACTGAGGAAAAAGTCCCCCAAAAGGAGTGTGGGGGGTCAAATTTCTTGAAAATTATTTAGAACTAATAAAAACAGTTATGTTCTTAAGAGTTCACAAAGGTTCCATTGGTGAAAGACACTTGGCAAATTCATGGAAGCGAGCTGGAGACAAACTCCTTGATGAATCAGAATTTCATCTGTAAAATTAAGTGCCATAATCAGAGAAAATTATAAGACATAATTAAAAATAATGTAAAAAAAAATCAAGAGAATTACACTAAAATTCAAGTTAATTTTTAAAAAAACTTGATCCAAACAAATTGAAAATACAAAGAAAAAACTCATAATTTTATGGTAAAACTTCACAAACTATTGTGATCCAACTCACTGCATCTGTTCTTTTTTTTTAGCACAACACAAAAACAGCTTATAGAAAAGTCCTTGTTATTTGCATCTGTAAGGGAAATAATGTGCTATGTGATTGAAAAACTTGTGGTAAAATTTAGAAGTGCCACAGGGAATCCCATCTCTCAGTTTTGTAATTCATTTGCTAGTTGTTTCCTGGTGGTGCTTGACTGTGCTAAAAGGCTGTTTTGTTCCACAGCGGGTATATAAAAATACCCCATGATTTACAGATTTGTAATACTGACACCTACAAAAAGGCATTGTACAAGTTGAATATTTTTGTTGATTTGCGTCCTTGCAGTATAGGTTTCCTACTTCTAGACTATGGAATGTCACATTAATAGTATAGTTATTCATATTGGTTTCAAATTTCATTATAATTACTGAAGATTCATCATAATTTCACACAGCACAGAGACATCAAACTAAACATCAAAACAGCCGGCACTAGATATATTTTTTCTTTAGATACCAATAAGCAAAATATCCCATCCCCCCTAGAGATCCCATGAGGAAGGAGGCCCCAAAAAAGGATGGAGGTTTCCGTTTGACCAGCCTGAATGCATTGGGTACCACTGCTGAGAGGAGAGTAGTATGGATGTCCCCCAAGACTTTCCTGAAGGCAAAACGTTTTTGTATCCTTTCAAAGAAGTTCTGTAGGTTGGGTCTGCTGCCATCTTCCCAGTATTTCTTTGAGAGTCCTAGGAACTTGAGGCGGTGTAATGTGGCTCCCAGCAAAACATCAGCCAAGGTGAATGCACATCCACAAAGCCAGAGTTCACATTTCTGCCCTAGAGAATGAAGCCACAATAATTATGTTGCATTGGAAGATAAGAAAACAAATGCTGCAATTGATCCTTACTTCACTGATAATAGATAATCAGAGTTGGAAGGGACCTTGTAGGACATCTAGTCCAACCCCCTGCCCAAGCAGAAGACCCTACACCATTTTTGACAGATGGGAGTCCAATCTCTTCTTGAAGGTCTCAAGTGATGGCGCTCCCACAACTTCCGAGGACAAGCTGTTCCATTGGTTGATTGTTCTCACTGTCAGAAAGTTTCTCCTTATTTCCAGGTTAAATCTCTCCTTGTTCAGTTTCCATCCATTATTCCTTGTCTGGCCTACAGGTGCTTTAGAGTTTAGAAAATAGCTTGACCCCCCTGCCTCTCTGTGGCAGCCCCTCAAATATTGGAAGACTGCTATCATGTCTCCCTGGTCCTTCTCTTCACTAGCCATACCCAGTTCCTGTAACCTTTCTTCATATGTTTTAGTCTCCAATCCCCATTGGCTTTTGATGGGGACTGATTAAACTGCCTCCTAGTAATAGATCTCTGGCAACTATCTGATTCAATAATTCATGAATTTTATCATTCCTTTTCACACCTAGGTAAGGGTGGGGTGGGGAGAAACGAAGCATGATTGTGGGATATGTTTTGCTGCTTGAAAAGCACACAGCTGCAATCAGATTATTTTGATAGCTGAGATACAAAATGCCATAAACTTTCCTCTCTATCCCAGGTAATTTAAGCATGATTAACTTACAATTTGCTACCTTTTAAAGAACATTAAAATCAGAAGCTTTGGTAAGTATCTACTTAATCTTAGTGCTATCCCAATTATGCATCATAGTCAGCTCTTTAATTTCAGAAATGTTAATGAACAAAGGGGGAATGGTTGCTATCATTTATATTCTGTCTTTTTACTAGAATGGGAAGGGGCTGGCACAGTGATGTTACCAAAGAGAAGTGCCAAATTTAATTAAGTGCAGGAATATTTGTGGTGTGTGTGTGTGTGGCCACATGCTCCAAGCCCTGACGTTTGCAACACCTGTAGAAAGAAAGCAGGGCATTGAGAATGTGGTCATAGCTGCCATCTTGACTTTTTTTTTTTAATTCCCCCTACAGACACTTTTGTATCTATTTTTTCCTTTTTGAAAAGTAAAATCAAATCATTAAGACTTATCAAGTCTTTACAGGCTATGTTTATTGTTCTTTCATTCTGAAAACCTGGAAAATTTAAGCTATCAAATTTGGCTGGCTTGTTTCCAAATTTCTTAGGAGGATCTATAGGAGCTCAAGATAACAGCAGGATCTTCCCTCATTTCATGCTCAATACAAGCCACTCTCTAGAAAAGGATATGATAAAGCAAGTTTTCCCTTTCCAGCTGTTCAGCTTCTTCTGTAATAGAAAGTAGTCCTATAACCACAAATTAGCCCAAAATGTCTGTTGCTAAGTGAGACAGATGTTAAGTGAATTTTGCCTCACTATATGACTGTACTTGCCACACTTGTTAAGTGAATCACTGTAATTGTTAAGTTAGTAACATGGTTGTTAAATGAATCCAGCCTCCCTATTGATTTTGCTTGTCAAAAGCTCACAAAAGGTAACCACAAGACCCCGGGACAATGCAACCATCATAAATATGAGCCAGCTGCCCAGCAGCTGAATTTTGATCATGTGACCATAAAATGCTGCTACGGTTGTAAAGTGTGAAAAATTATCATGTCACTTTTTCAGTGTTATAACTTTGGTCACTAAGTACTATCTGTACTTCCAACCAAAGATGCAGACGTATAATTAAGCAACCTACAGCTGCCCCATTGGTACAGTCTTTAAAAGCCATGAAATCATCTGCCATGAAAATCTTTATGGCAGTCAATGATAGCTGGAACATTATGGGTTGAAGGACAATAAAAGGGAGGGATAATAATAACAAACTCTTAAACTTCGCTGTTTCTTTTTTATTAACCAGTTATGGTTTCCAGCTGCTCAACCTGCTCATGATCAATTTTAAGCAGTCACATATTCATGGTAAATGCCTGAAGAAATTAAGCATTAAACATCAGAAGAATGCTTAAGCAGGTGAAGCAGGTGTATTCAGCCAACCTGCTCAGTTTGAGTAACATGAAACTTGACTACTCTTTTTGCGGTTTAGCCAACCTGTTTGTGACTTTATATTTCAGTTTGTTTACAACTCTCAAATGGATTAATTCAATAAACAAGGCACAATGTACAGTGAAAATATATTTAATATATTTTCTCAAAGTCTTGAAAATTGAAGATTAATTGATTTATATAAAATCTGGCATTTATTTCACCTTTTTTGCACTGGCTTTGACTCTGATTTGAGTAGTTTGAATTTGACTTTATACTTGCTCTTTTATTCCTTGGATTTAAATAATATAAACACAAATATTCAGAGGAACCAAAAATATTGAAATAATCCTTGGTGTGTGTGTGTGTGTGTGTGTGTATTATCTGAATAATTTTATTTCCCTGGATGAAAGATATGGATCCACCACATTATTTAAAATATTGAACCATACTTTGGGAAGAGCTGTCTCTGGGGGCATGAAGCCTATGTTAGTTAGAATTGAGACATCTCTCCATCTCTTTTGTGCCTTTCCTGAATTTCCACAGAACTGTAGCAGATACAATCTGGTCTATAGTTAAAAAGCAACAGTTCTCAGTTACAATAATTAATGTGTGTTGACAGGGATGGGATTCAAATTTTTAACAACCGGTCCTGTGGGCATGGCTTAGTTGGTGGGCGTGACTTCAGGTCATGTTATTGGCTGGGCATGGCCAACTCAATATCAGTTACATCGAGGCACGCATCTCCTCACCTGGCTTCTCATGACTGTGGGTATGCTGCAACAGTCGTAAGTGCGAAAAATGGTCATAAGTCACTTTTTTCAGTGCCATTGTAACTTTGAATGGTCACTCCACACAAGCAAAGTACCAGCAAAGTGGGGGGGAAAAAACTCCAGAGAAGTTCCTGAGACAGGAAGTCTAGTCCTGCCAAGAATGTAATAAGGGTTAATGGAGAAGCAGTTTCTGTAAGCAACACCAGAATGTTTCCTTCCTGCCTTCCTTACAGGATTAGGCCAGTAATTTCTTCTAACAACCGGTTCTCCGAACTGTTTAGACTGTTAACAACCGGTTCTAGCGAATAGGTGCAAACTGGTAGAATCCCACCCCTGTGTACGGCCAAGGAAGCTGTTTATTTACAAATGTGTGAAATGTACTTTTCCAAACTAGCTTTTCAGACCATATTTTTGTCCCTCTTTCTCCACCTCTCACATCATACCATGTCCATAATAATAGTTAGTTGGTTGCCTCTTATTATAAGGCTGACACTTGGACACGCAGCTGGCAAGCATCAAGCTGTGAAAGAAGTAGAAGCAGTTTGAGCTCTACAGACTCTGATGACTTTTAAAATTACACAGATACCCTTTCTGCCCATCAGCACTGACAGGTGCAGAAATTAGAAAAGTCATGCTGTATTTAAGTAGAGAAGAAAGGACAACCATAAGGAGTCACTTTCTTTTTCTAGAAGGCTGCTAAAAAACCTCAAGGGCACCAGATCTCTGCTGTATGAGTAGTGATTCATTTAACTCATGCTAAGATTTTTTTCCCCCATGGGGAAGAGAACTGAAGGGAAACATTCAAAGTATGACTGGGTTTTGAAAAAGGATTGTCTGGATCAGTATTTTTCATTTAAGTGAATAAAACTGATCAGTTAAGATAAAATCCCAAATGTTACTTTAATATTTTGAGTTACTGGATTGTTCATTTCATGGGGGGAGAAAGAAAATGCAGTCAGGTAGGATACCTGAGTTGAAAATCTGGATGATCAAATGAATATTTTGCTCAGGGGTTTACAAAGATTTGCAAATTCCCAAATGAAAAAGTATCCAGACATTCTCCCTAGTTCACAAAGATAACTTTTGACTTTTAGCAGAAAACATTTTGGAAAACAAGTAGAATAAAAAGACCTCTCCTTTGCTTAATTTGTTCAAAGTGCACCATTTTGGGCTTTTTGTTTTCAAAGAGCTCCAGATATTTTTGGGCAATTTAGGGATTATTAGATCACAGCAGGTGTTAGTCCTAGATGACCTTGGTTCTATCAGCAGAGTCTATCCTAGTTAGATCTTGGGAGTGGAGGACCAGCTGGAAAATAAGAGACCATCCTGAAAGGGGATAATATCCATTTCATAACGTTTCTAAGAAAACTGCAGGTATACGCAGTCACTAGGATTGGAGCTTGACCCAAGGCCCTTCTTAACCAAACCCTAGCATTTTGGAATGATATAAAGATAGAGATATAAAATTAAGATTTCACAAACTAGATTGGGCAAAAGATGGAATAAAAATCAATGGCACCTGTTTAAAACCACTTAAGATTTGCAGATGTTGTTCTCTTCTCACAAGACCCAGAAGAGCTACAAAGACTCATATAAGAGCTGCACAAAGCAGGAGAACCATTTGGCTTAAAAATAAACCTGAAAAAGAGCCAGGTTATGTTTAATAAATTCACTAAAGAGAGAAAAATGTATATATCTGGAGAACTAAACATAGTAGACCACTACATATATCTTGGCCAATGGAAATTGATACAATAAAGGAAATTGAACGGCATGTTAAATTTGGTTGGCAGGCATTTGGCAAGCTAAGCATAATTTTCAAGAACAACTTCCCCATATGCCTGAAGAGAAAAGTTTTCAATCAGGCTTGCTGTCAGGATTCCAGCAATCACCCTAATTAAATCATAATTCTCAAACCAAACTTCAAAAAACTTGAAAGAATTTATTAGAGGCAACATACTGGCACTGCCCTGTATGAAGCCAACTCTGCCATAAATAAATTAACAGTCACCTGTGACCCTGTTTCCCCCCTCCCCCCTGGGTGTCTCATAAACCAGATTCTCCAATTGAGCATGTTCATGGGCTGGGTGTCATCATTCACATTCTCCAATTAAATATATTTGCAGGCAAAAGCTCTGGTATTTTAGTTACAATCTTTTAAGGATAAGAGTTGGAATATACTTTCGATTTCAAACTGCTACACTGCTTTTCCAGATTTCCTTCCTCCCCCCACCCTTTTATGGCAACTACTAAAACAGGCATAGGAATGTTTTATGAGTTGACAGCTATCTGCTCTAACACATGCCAGTGAAACATGGACACTAACCTCACAATTGATACAAAAGCTAAGAATGGCACAAAGTGCCATAGAAAGATACATGCTCAGCATTACAAGACACGATAGAAAGACCTGCACATGGACTAGAGAACAAAAGTATACAATATCATCAAGAGAGTAAAAGAATGGAAATGGAAATGGAAGTGGGCTAGTCATATAGCAAGAAGAACTGATGTCAGGTAGGCCAAAGCAATCATAGAATGGATCCCTCTTCATAAAAAGCGTCCACCAATATTGTGGGCCCAATTGGCAAAAGAAAGCTCAGGACTGTTTGGTAGGAAACATGTGGAAGAAGCATTCAGTGGATAGACAATGACTAAAATGATGATGATAAAACTGAGATTAGCTAGAAAGCAAATAGTCTGCCAAAAAATGCAGAGAGATCTTATCCAAATAGTTGGCCCTTCTTTAAAATAATTAATTAGCTTTTATTAGACACCTTCTAAACCTAATGTTTCAATTTTGTTGTCCAGATCCCTTCAACAAAATAGTTGGCAGATAACTTGCATATGTTTATGTTCAAAAAGGATAAAGAGAAGACTTGGGTAACTTGATGTTAACACCAGGCTAAACTCTGTAACAGATTATTAAATACTTGGTTTATGATAATTCAGAAAAGAATGCATTGCTTGGCAGGACTCAAAATGATTTTACTAAGAACAAGTCATGCCAAATTAATTTGATTGACCAATAGAGGACACAGTGTTCCAAGCAAAGCACCTGACAAAGTTTCCCAT